TGAATTTATATGGTGTTTGTTGTATACCAGCTACACTTTTATAAAAAAAAATAATAAACATTAAATANCAAATTCTGATTAAAAAGTTCGAAATTTTGGTGAAAATAAGCAGAATTTTTCTAATTTTGATTTTAAAGTTTGAAATCTGAATTTATATGGTGTTTGTTGTATACCAGCTACACTTTTATAAAAAAAAATAATAAACATTAAATAAAAATGACAAAATCGGTCAAAATATCGCAATTCTTTTATTTTGTGGACCACTATATGCAAGTTAACACATCCGCCGTCACCCAACATGTTGCATTCCCACAGTCCAGCAATACACGTGCGCCATGTCAGCATAATTGTGGTTCACAACATAATTGACATCCTACACCTTTGTCAAGGCCAAGTGCATTTCATGATATCATGCAATAGCAATATTGCACAACGTTATCAGACACCTATGGGAACCGTCGGCCACAGTTAGTACCTCTGCTTACAATGCTTACGCAACCATTAGTATAACGGAGCCAATGCATTAGGCATTGCAGCGGTGTCAGCATAATTTCATTTCACACGGTTGTGAAATCAGTGTGTTGCATATTCCAAGTTACCTGTGGGAATTCAAGGCCAAGGCGGCTCACTGACGTCGCCTATGTCTGGCTATAGAACAACGGCAGCGGAATAGGCTATAAAGGGCGGCAGAACTCGGAGCAGCGGCAGTTGCATCGGGGTGTTACTATAGTCAATTAGGCTTATTTATTTATCTCAATAAAGTACTTTTATTATAACGTTTAATTTACCTCTTTTAATTCCAGGGCCCTTTAATTTTTTTGTTGTTCAGGACCTTCAGTCCTTAACTGGCGCCCGAGCAGGGACCAGTAGTGTTAGTAGTAAAATAAAATCGGGATAATCAAATCAGTGATTAAGTGATTGTGAAAAGTGGAAAGAAGTTATACCAAATAAAAGTGAAAAATAAAAATTAGCTAAAAGGCTATCTAAAAAGAAGCCAGTAAACAAAATATCAAAAAGCTATTAAAGTGCTTAAGTGAAACTAATCAAAAAATAATCAAGTGACAAATAAATGATCCTTGCAGTGTTGTGAGTAAAAATAACCACTTTTCGTCTGCATATTTTCCTTGTTTATTTCCAGGATGGATTCGCTTCAGGACAACGTAACGAGATTGACTGGTGCAGTTAACGCACTTATGGACCAGCTGAATGGGATAGAGAGGCGTGTATCAAGCTTGGACACACTTCAAAATAGGATCGCTTTGATAGAAGCTGCTACTCCGCAGCTAAATGGAGTGGAAGCAGAAGTACAAGTTCCGCCCCGAGCTCCAGCAACGGAGGCGGAACTTAGAGATATCTCGAGACTTCCACACTCTGTGAAGGAGCTACAGGTGTTCAACAGTAATCCAACTATGTTTGTGTCATGGGTGCATGCTGTCTAGAGCATCCTTAGTGATTTCGAGCTGGTAAAGGGTAAGCCAATCTATCGTGCGATTTTACAGCACATTCGACAAAAGATACGAGGACCCGCCGATACTGCCCTCATATCCTATAGCATTTTTGACACTGACTGGACTGCCATGAAGGAGTGTCTATCACTCCATTACGCCGACAAACGCGACATACGCACCTTGGAGTACCAACTCCACCAACTCTCCCAAAAGGATTCGCGGTTCGATGATTTCTATGGAGCCGTGAATCACCAATTTGCTTTAATTATAAATAAACTCAAAACTGAGAAATGCTCTCAGGAGACAGTGCAGGTACTAATAGATACGTACAGAAATCGTGCGCTTGATGTGTTCATCCGTGGATTGAATGGGGATCTTTCAAAGATGCTCCTGGTTCAGCGTCCTAAGAATCTACCTGAGGCATACTCAAGGTGCCTCGAGATACAGAATACAAATTTGAGGAACTACACGGTACACACTGCACGGTTTAATAACCGTATTGTCGCACCGATGAATACCATGCCAGATCGCATGCATGGTTTGGATGGTAACAAGGCGCCTCCACTTAAACCAAGGACAACATGGCGTCCCCAAGAGCGACGATATCCCTTTGAAAAACGAGTTGGACACATTACTCCTAGGCGAGATCCTCCGTCAACCTCTCAGCCACCCGTCGAGAAGATGGACGTGGACCAGTCGGTCCAATCGCGCAAAGTGAACTACATGAATAGACCGAATCCCTTTAAACGAGGTGCAAGATCAGATAATCTTCCGCGAAAACAGCAAAAGCTGTTCAACATAGAGACGGACGATAACAATGACGAAGTGACTAACTACTTGCAAACAGGAGGCACAGGAGGAGATTTTTTCATCCAACGGCCATCTAGCGTACCTTACTTAGAGTACGTACTCCCTGACGGCCGCACCTTAGATTTTCTTTCGACACTGGTGCCAATAAAAACTTCATTAAGCAAGCGGTCGTCAAGCAAGGCAAACCAGTCGACAGATCCTTTACCGTAAGATCAGCAGGCGGAAGTATCCCGATACAGAAAAAAATAAGTTTGAATTTGTTTA